ACAGATCATCCGATTCTCCCCCTTTGTAGGGTTGATAGGGAAACAGTTGAGGTAAGAATGTCAAGGAAGGAGTGGAAGAAGTTTAAGGCCTGGAAGAGAGACAAACAGGCGAAAAGTCTTCACGCTTGGCTTCAAAAGCTATTTGATCAGCCATTTGAGAAAAACTTCATCAACGTCTCCGCCGCCGTTAAAGCCATTCAATGATTCCTGAATCGACCTTTTTTTTGGAAATGTCCAAAGTAAATATGAAATTATTCTTTTCAATTTCATTATATTCTATGGTTGTGTCTTTTCGGAAAACCAAAGTTTAACAAAGCATTTATAATAGAAAATGGGTTAGAAATTCTCGTTGTATTAGATTGAGTTTGGGATTACAAACGAAAAAAGAGTTTAGATCAAATTACAAAACGAAACTACATAATGTATTCGGTAACGAGGTCGGGTCAAGCTGCCGAGCTGAGATTACGTAGTTGAGTTGGTCGGGTAACTCATGATTCCTAGCAGGATGTCGTCTGCGCGGGAGTTAATGCCGAGTTGAGATTGGTTGTTTTTTCGGTTCTAGACTCATTACCTTGCGAGGAGAGCTCGTTTCCAGGAGGTCTTCTTTGGCGGTGGCAATCAGTCGGAAACTTCTCTTTCAGAATTAGAGGCCTAAACAAAAAGTTTTGGATCTCTTGTACTCCTTTTGAATGAGATTAGTATCCCAACTATAAGATTTGAGGTTTCTATTTATAGTGAAATGGCTGTTAGTTGAACAGTAACTATGATTGCTTAATTTGATCATTGTGTATTTAAGGTTTTGCCCTCCTTGAGTTTGGATTTTGGCGAGCTAAGCTAGCTCAAATATGCTTCGGGCTGGGCCCATTTTATTGGTGGGTGAAACCCATGTCCAACAATTATTAAGATTGCATTTTTTCGGAAAATCCGTTTAATAGCTATTAGTGCATCTTACGGTTGTGTCTTTTTGAAAAAAACCGTTTAAAAGTTATTAATGCATTATATGGTTGTACTTTGAAAAAATAATTTCGTGACTATTAATTTATCCTGAAGTTAGCATCTTTTCGAAAAACATGTTTTGTGGTTATTAATACAACATACGACTGCGTCATTAAACTTATAAGGTAGTTTTTTTCATTGAGTTAACATCTATATTGACAAGAAAATGGGAAAATTAATAAATAGCATCTATATTCTTTCACTAGTGTTTTAGTGTATGTCAAGGTTCTCATTAACCATTTGGCATGTGTTGTATTGGGTAAACGTTACCAAATTTCCTTTTTGGAATGTTTTGTGTTATCAAAACCCTCTTTTGAAAGAATGATGATGTTAGAGTTATAAAAACCAATGTCCCCTCCTTTGGGGAATGATTTGGTTATTCAAGCGTCGCAAATTTTGTAAAGATCTTCCTCCCATCTTCTATGCTTTTGGTGTAGTGTTTGTAAGCCTTCGGGTTGCAGTGAATGCGGTCATTCAAGAGGCTCATGAGATCGTTCTAGATGTTTGACTTCTTATAGCTTTTTTTTATGACTTGTATCGTCAATATATATCTCGTTTAAGTGTTTAACCATCGTTTGATGGTCTATCTGACACTTCCTTCTTTGCTTATGTGTTTTCCCATTAATTTGGTTGTAACTTACTTTTGTAAAAGAGTTTGAAGCTAACGAAATTTTAGTTTGACCCAAAAAAAAGAAGTATGAAATATGAATATAAACACAAGTTTGGTCTTTGTTGGTTTTACCAGTAAAGCACCAGCAGAAACAACTGATATAGTGAGCCGATTGCAGAAAACTAGAAACAAAGAAGAATACTTAATCCACAAGGAACTCTCATTATCTTCTCGTACAAATT